TATTGGACGTGGGGTCCAATTCCCTGCGCCCACCTTATGGAGCAGATTATCAACAAGGCACAGAGAGTTAACAGGGAGGTTTGAACCAGGCCAGGTATCAAGTTGATTGGTAGTAAGGACTTGGGTCACAATGTCAAGGTCCACATCAGGCAAGGGTGGAAAATCAAAGGGTATACCCAGGTGAGCATTGATCAAAGCAGGCGAAAAATCTATAATACGATTACGCAAAAAGAGTTTGTGAAAACGAGGACTACCAGATTCAAAAACAGCAGGGGTGAGATTGGTATAAAACTCACGAACAACTTGATCATAGAAAGAACCAATATCCACAACAAATTTGATAGACCAACAGACTTGATGAGAGGAAGGACATCAAGTTCAAAAAATTTTTCATCCTTAAGAGGATGCTCAGACCAAAACCCATAAGACTGAAAATGCTCAAACCTTTCATGAGAAGCCTCAGTATAGAACTGATTAGTGAAGGCATTTTCGAGGTCATAGGCGTCATTCTCTGGTTCCGGTGGTGCAAGATTCTCATCAATTGGATCTTTGCCTTTGTGGCGAGTGGAAGGGCGCACCAGAGCCCTAGGTGGAGGAGTTGGTTGGTCGGAGTGAAACTCAACAAGGGTCGCCACAGTATCGTCCTTCTCACCCTCGGTGGTTGTCGTCTTGGTGACTGAATTAGTTGTGGAAGTCGGGACTGCAGAAGACTCCCCTTGAGCTTGAACCGCAGGAGGTTCTTCAAACCCAGAGAGGCCAGGTACTCCAGTGGCCAGAGGAGAGGGTTCGAAACTCTTGCCGATGTTGTCTGACTTGGACGGAGAACCAGATGTGGTAGCAGACAGAGAGACAGACTTTTCGGGCAGAGGCGATTCCTAAGATGGAGACTTTGCCCGCGGAGGAGACTCTCGCTGAGAACTCGCAGAAATGGAGAGACGATGGTGCTTCAGCCTCTTCTCCTTATGCTTTTTCAGTCGCTTTTTGGACTTATCCTTGCTTCCAGCCATGGGAGAAGGAATGTGATTGAGGTTGGGAAAATTAGGGTTTTGATAGAGATAGAGCAGAGAGAGAAAAAAAAATGAGTTCATGAGATAATGAGAGAGGAGGTAGTTCGGTGATAATGAAAAAGGTGAGAAGAGACGTGAGGGTAATAAAGTTCTGACATCGAAAACTGCAAAAAGGCAGTTTTCTTGGTTCAAAGAAGAGAGAGAAGGCAGTTTGGGCGATTTTAGGGGAGTTAACGGGCAACTAATCCCTCCAAAAACAGAATTCAAACACAAGAAAACCTCTCACACAAATAACTTCTCACATTATTTTGAAACTTAGGAAAGAAATCAGATTATATTCTCAAATATATATTCTCGACAAAATTTTAGACTCAAATAGATCAAGTTCAATAAGGAAACCATATGCAATTATGCCTAAGGATGAAAAATAAAAATAAAGAAAATAAAATCGCACACAATATACACTAGATTCAAAAAATCTTTTCCTTCTCAACTTAGACAAAATTGACGAAGACAGTCCAAGACCAACTTTGAGATTCAAACTTCTGAAGGAACATACGATAAGCGGATATATGTATATACATAGAGTAGTGCGAACCGCAACTTCAAATTTGCAAGAACACATGTCGTATTATTCATAGTGCATTTCACTTACTAACAATCACTGCAATAGTGAAAGTCAACACCATTACTTTGCACCATGATTTTAAGCAATGATCCTACGTTTTTTTTATTAAACAGCACTACAGTTTTTATGTAGGTGACCACCTTATAACTCCGCATAAGAACATCACATAATAATACGTAATGTGCGTCACTAGTTTACGCATGTCTCAACATTTTTTGTCCAAGACGCTCTTTTCACAGTCGATCCCGCATTTGGAAACGAATCATGTGCTAGCTATCGCTCTAGATCATTTATGAGAAGGCAACTCTTTGTGACAAAAACCAAAAATACTGAAAATAAGTACGTTCCTCGGTAATGTAAGAACACGCAGCCAGTCTTAGACAATCAACATCTCTCGAGTTTTCAGAAGAGTCAGAACTTCAATTAAGAATCTAGTGGTGATGATAATGCAAAATGCACGACATGCCTAATGCAAAATACCCTATATGCTTACAAGCAATGCAATAGATAAATACTAATAATATACAATACAATATAATATAATGCAAGATCACACAAGCATTCAGAATGAGTAGATCCCTAAGGATTTCCTTAGAGAAATGAACCTTTGAGAATCCAGTGCTTTAGTGAATATGTCAGCCAACTGGTTTTGCGTAGAAACATACTCAAGGACAATCACATCATTCTCGACTAAATCTCTAATAAAGTGATACCGAATATCTTTGTGTTTAGTCCTAGAGTGTTGAACTGGATTTTTAGAGATGTTAATTGCACTGGTATTATCACGCGGAAAGGTTCACGGTTCTTACCTCAAGGCCAAACTCAATCATCATTTGCTTCATCCACACAAGCTGGGAGCAACAACTTCCAGCAGATATATATTCGGCCTCAGCTGTAGAGAGTGCAACGCAGTTCTGCTTCTTACTAAGCCACGAGATGAGATTATTACCTATGTAGAAACACCCACAAGAGGTACTACGTCGATCATCGATGTTCCCAGCCCAATCTGCATCACTTTAACCTGCAAGACTAGAAGACGTGTTACGTGAGTACAGAATACATAAGTCAGATGTGCCGTGCATATACTTGATGATGTGCTTCACCGCCTTCAAGTGCAATTCCTTAGGATTAGCTTGGTACCGTGCACACATACCTACACTAAAACACAGATCAGGTCTACTGGCAGTCAAGTAAAGTAGACTTCCTATCATGCTTCTATAAAGCGTGGAATCAACTGAAGTTCCAGCATCATCATTAGAGAGTATAGAATGGCTCCCCATAAGTGTTGCTGGACACTTAGAATTTTCTAAACCAAATTTTTTTACAAGATTTTTAGCATATTTGGTTTGATGAAGAAAGATCCTTTCCTTGGATTGCTTAACCTGCAGACCCAAAAAATAGGACATCTCTCCAACCATGCTCATCTCAAATTCTCTAGACATGTGGCTGACAAATTCATTTACCCACGTTCTCGAGGTAGAACCAAAAATAATATCATCTACATAGATCTGCATGATAATAATATCTTTGTTCGATTTTCGCACAAAGAGAGTTTTATCAACTCCCCCTCGAGAATATCCCATTTTGACAAAAAATTGGGTCAGGCATTCGTACCAAGCATGCGGAGCTTGCTTGAGCCCGTACAAAGCCTTTTTTAATCTACAGACATGGTCTGGATGATGAGGGTCCACAAACCCTTCAGGTTGCTTAACATAAGCAACTTCTTTCAAGAAACCATTCAAAAAAGCAGACTTTACATCCATTTAATAAATAACAAATCCAAGTAAGCACGCAATAGACAAGAACATCCTAACAGACTCCAAGCGAGCAATAGGGGCAAATGTTTTATCAAAATCAACACCCTCCTCTTGAGTGTACCCCTGAGCTACAAGGCGAGCCTTGTTCCTAGTGATCTCCCCTGATTCATCTGTCTTATTTTTAAAAATCCATTTGGTTCCAATGACGTTTGAATCAGTAGGTCTAGGGACAAGTTGCCACACATCATTCCTAACAAACTGTTCTAGCTCTTCTTGCATAGCCTGAACCCAGAAATCATCACATAAAGCCTCTTTGGCATTTTTCGGTTCCAACTTAGACACATAACACGCAAAATGACACAAACCAGCTATCTTACGAAAATTAGGTTTCACACCTCTAGTATTACGCTCAGTGATTCCTCCTATGATTTGATCCTTAGGATGATCCTTCTGAATCTTGGCGGGAGGATCTCGCCTTGATTCAGTTGGATATCCGGAGGACATTGGAACATTATATTCATTACCTTGCACACTTTCATCACAGTCAAGGATTTCAGACTTAACATCATTTAACACATTCTCAATCTCGGAATTTAGCAACTTCTTACCACTGGACACATCAATGTTGGACACATCAGGTGCAAATACACATTCAAGAGAATCATCAAAAACAACATTTATAGATTCCACGACCACTTCAGTATACAAATTATACACATGATATGCACGGCTGTTAGTAGAATAACCAAGGAACTGACCAACATCACTCTTGGACTCAAACTTACCAAGATGTTCTCTGTCATTGTAGATATAGCACCGACACCCGAAAACATGAAAATATTTCACATTAGGTGCTTTACCTTTCCACATTTCATATGAAGTCATTCCAGTTCCTTTCCTGCAATACACACGGTTAGTAATATAACATGCCGTGTTGACTGCTTCTGCCCACCATCTTAAGGACATGCCCTGTGATGCAAGCATCACTCTTGCCATTTCCTGAAGTATCATGTTCTTACGCTCTACAACTCCATTCTACTGTGGAGTAATTGGAGAAGAAAACTGGTGAAATATGCCACGAGATTCACAGAACAGTTCAAAACCACGGTTTTCGAATTCCTTACCATGGTCACTTCTGATGGCAACAAGGTTGGCTCGTTTTTCATTCTCAAGTTTTAACACGAGTTTCTTAAAAGCATCAAGTGCGTCAGATTTGTATTTTAAGAAATCAACCCAAGAAAATCTAGGATAACCATCCACACAAACAAAAATATACTTCTTACCGCTGTAACTTTCAACCTGAATAGGTCCCATCAAGTCCATGTGCAACAGTTCCATTACATGGTTTGTACTGACCTCGGTCAATCTTTTGTGTGAGGCCCGTTTTTGTTTGCCCATTTTACACGATCCACAAACTCGTGGTTCTTCCTTCTTCAGCCTGAGCAATCCTCTAACAACACCTGTAGAGGAGAGTTCAAGTAAATGAGCATAGTTTATGTGGCCCAACTTTTAATGCCAAAGTTCAGTCATATCAACACTGGTTTTATTACACTTCAAATCAAGTTCCACAAGATAACAATTATCCCTGCACCTAGTACTAGTAAGAACATGTTTGTTTTCTTGATCAGACACATGACAAAGAGTCCTAGTAAAATTCATATACAAACCCTGATCACATAATTGACTGATACTCAAAAGATTGGCTTTCAAGTTTTGAACCAAAAGAACATTTTTAAGTTTGGGCAAACCAGGAACATCCAAGCATCCTACTCCAAGAACCTTATTCTTTGCCCCATCACCAAAAGTTACTGAACTAGAAGGGCCAGGCATAATATTTGTTAAGTTAGACCTCAAACCTGTCATATGACGAGAGCATCCACTATCAAAATACCAGTCAGAGTTAGACGTGGATTTCAAGGCAAGTATAGAAGACAGACAGACGTTCTTACTTTCCTTGGAACCCAGATCTTTTTCTGTTCATGATTTACTATATCAATTTTCAGTTTAGGTGCTTTCAAGGGAACACCATGAGGACTCCAGTCATTAATTCGACCCGTATATATATATCATTATGCATTCTATAACACTTGGGACGAATGTGACCGCGAATCCCACAATAGTGACAAACGGGTACAAAGTTCTTACCAGAATTTTTGTGTTGTGCTTTAGGAGAGTTTGGCTTACCTTTCTTGGAATCAATTGAGTAACCTTCTTTAACAAAAGTCAGATCAGCCTTACTCAGTGAGGAACTTGATTCACTAACCTTGCCTTTGAGTTTCTAGTTGTGGAGGTTCTTACTCTGGTTAGGTGAACCAATCTGCTGACTCAATCTTTGTACTTCAGCGTATGAAGACTTTGGCTTATTGATCAGTTTGACAATTTCCTCACTCTTACTGAGCCTTTCTTCAAGGGCAGAGCAATGACTCTGAAGTGTCAGATGTTCCTCCATCACACGCCCGAGTTCCTCCTTGAGAACAACTATTTCAGTTTCTCTTTCACCTACAAGATTTCGTACAGCAAACAACTCGTTACGTAAGGATTCAATAGTAAAATTCTGTTCGTCACTTACCTGTTTGTTGAGTTTATCCCCATGCTCAACCAATGCAAGCTTCGCGAAACAACTGTTAAGGTCCTTGTCTTGCTTTCCGATATAAAGGTCTGATTTAATGAGTTTCTCGTTCAGATCAATGGTCATCACCCTTATCTTTTGAAGTTCATCCCTAAGATAGACAATCTCCTTCTCACGTTCAGTAGATCAATGTTCCATACCCTTCATCTTCACTTTTTGAGCCTGGTACTTCTTGATGATCTCCGCTGTCTTGAGGCATTTTTCTATAGCATACTTGCGGAGTACGAGATTTTCAGCAGCTGGATCCGAGAATTCATCAGAGTCCACATCGCTCAAATTCTTCGCGTAAGAACCTGCGTCAGACTCTACATCAGTCAAATGAACAGAGGACGTAAAATAGTTATATTCATTAAGAAGACATTTAGCAGAGTTATTTGAGTAATTAAATTCTCAGTATTTTCAGATTCTTCTTCCTCGTCGTCACTGGAGTCAGACCACGTAGCCTTGAACGTCTTGTTCTTCTTCTTAAAGTTAGGACATTCTTTTTGAAAGTGGCCGAAACCCTTGCATTTACGACATTGGTCTTTTTCAACTCCTTGGTTAGAATTCTGAAACTTGTTCAGCTGCATGCCGAAACGCTTTTCTCTGAATTGCTGAATTTGGTTCCTACCACCATCAAAGGACTTATTACCCTGAAACCTTGTTTTTTAAAATTTCTTCCGCTTCGAGAAATTCTTTGTAAGTACAGTCAGAGCCTTTGTGATTTCATCAGCTTCAAAGGATTCTTCATCGGATTCTTCATCTTCAGCAACTGCAGTACGGACCCTGGCCTTTAACACTAAGCCTTTCCCTTTGCTTATCCTCATAGAGTCAAAGCCATGGTTGATTTCAAAGGTGCGAAGCTCTCCGAGAAGATCATCAATGCCCAGTTTCTCAATTCTCTGAAAACTTTCTAGTGCTGTAATCTTAATTCCTTCTGGTAAGGTTCTCATTAACTTCTGCACTTGTGTTGCCTCAGAAACTAGTTCACCAAGCATTGCGCTCTGGTTCACTAGATCGCAGAACCGGGCATAGTACATGTCAATAGTTTCATCCTCCCTCATGCGAATCTCGTCAAGTTCTGTAGGAACTCTTTGGAGCCTTGAAGTTTTTACCGCATTTGTACCTTCAAACTGTCTTTCCAAGATCCTCCAAGCTTCTTGAGCGGTAGTGCACTGAATGATTATCTTGTGACGAGTGGGATCTACGACAGACATGATAGCATATAAAGCTCGAAAGTCAGCTTCTTCTGCTTGTTTTTCATCATCAGTCCAGATACTCCTTGGTTTTTCAACCAGAACTTTGGTAGCAGAAGTTGACGATTTTCCATCTGAGGACTCTCCTGCCTTAAGTTCAGCAGGAACCTTCCCCTGGAGAGGTACCGTCCAACTGGATTCAACGGCCTGCCATGTGCCTTTTCCAAGAGACCGAAGAAAGATCACCATCATTGATTTCCAGTAAGCATAATTGGATCCATCAAGAAACGGAGGGAGCGAGACAGACATCCCATCATGACTCATGGTGGCCGACACACAGTCCCAACGATCTTTATCCCATAGTTAGAACAGGAACACTGCTCTGGTGCCAATTGAAACGTATGTTTTTCTCGGAGTGCGCTAAGTGTAGTACGAACTCAAACAGGAATTGTAAAATGCGGAAGCAATTAGACCGAAGATATAAAAACTTTTCAGGGAAGCATCCCACTTCCCCTCAGAGCTCCTTCATTGATAAATCGTATAAAGAAGTAGTTTGGACTTACAAGACTTGAACTTCCTTCTAGTCTAGCCAACGCTATTCACGATCCTATCAACTAATTCTCCGGCCACGTTCCGTGGACTTTATAACCTACACTTACTCCCTAAGTGTAAAAGAACGAATATAGTTTGAAAGAAGTTATCAAAAATAAACCAAAATAGATTCAGTTCTTGAGTGCGTAAGAACCCTCGAACTGAACTGTGTACAAAACTGAACAGAAAAATATATGAAGCTCGAATATTGCTCTAAAGACTATCAATCTTCTCAGCAGCCGCAATGTGAGCTTCTTGTAGGGTATTTAAACGACCTCCTTAGGTTAGAGTCTTCTCCAAGACATAGGTCTCCTTGTATGATTTCCTTCCATAAATGTAGCACAAGTTTGGTAAGTGAATCTCCTATTCTCTCTCCTTGATCTCCTTATCATGCACGCCTCTTTTTCCTTTATTTCTCTCAAGCCCGATTTCCTATAATATAAAATACCATAATAAGATCCACACAATCTTATATATAGAATACAAAATAAACTCAAGTAAGGAAATAAAATAATTAAAGATCTTCCTTTTTTCTATGGTTTCAGATACTTGTTTGAACCATCAAACTAATGCCAAACAATTATAATTTTCACTCTTAAAAATCTAAGTTCTTAAAAATTCCAATGAATACACTTGCATTTATATATGGAGAGAAAATATGGTACTTTTCTGTACACATTGTCCTAAGAGAATAAAAATGGGCTATGCATGGTTTGACTCTCAAGTCTCACCTACTGGCTTGCATGTTGATAGTATAATCAAGAAAACGACCCACTTTGACCATTCATAAAATTAACTATTGACCATAGTTAAAGTTTCCCTCGGTCGGAACCGTTCACTAGATTACAAGTCAATAAATCTCTATCTATGCCAGTTACCACCGGAATCACGTAGCCCAAGACTTTTTCTTTTCTTTGGTTTTAATAATATGGGGTTAGGTAATTGCTTTAGGACTTACGCATGTGCTGTGGTTGACCTATAATGCATAGCCCTCCGTTAGTAATAAATATATATTATTATATATTTAATATGACATTTTTTTATTTGTGCGACTTACTTGAGTTATATTATAATAATTTTTTAACTTACAACATATAACTACATTAAATATAAATATATCAATTGAGAAATAATTTTATTTTTTTAATGAATTTTAATAAATATTATTATTTTTTATTATTATAAAGATAAATATAATTTATTTATTTCATATATACAATATGAATGTCAAATCGAAATTATCAAAAGATGATTAATTTGATATATCCTCCATATATATTATTCTCGAATGCGTTGTAGCCTACATGGCTGCTTCTGGTGCTTCGTAATCCTACTTGGCAAAGAATCATGTTTCGTAATTAGGTTTGGACAAATAATATTGATATATTAATAATTAATAATCTAGGTTGGGACATTCCATAAATATTAAATAGCTAACTTAGGTATTTTAATATCACTTGTACTAATATAACCCTTACAAAAGTTATCAACTTTTAAAATACATTTACAATTAAATAACTAATTGAAGGAAACAAATCAAAAGTCAAGGATATATTAGTCACTTAATGTCACACTATGTAAAATTACAAGGAATTAAAGAGTTATATTAGTACAAGTGATATTAAAATACCTAAGTTAGCTATTTAATATTTATGGAATGTCTGAACCTAGATTATTAATTATTAATATATCAATATTATTTGTCCAAACCTAATTACGAAGCATGATTCTTTGCCAAGTAGAATTTCGAAGCACCAGAAGCAGCCATGTAGGCTCAACGCATTCGGAAATAATATATAGGGAGGATGGGTGTTATTGAATAACGTGCCTTATTACTATTTACTGCCCCCAACAAAGTAGTTTTATCCTTTTTAATTTTTAATTTTTAATTTTTTTTTATGCTGGTCGGCCGCTAATCGCGGCCGCAACTCTCTCGGCCGGCCGGCTAAGGCGGAGGCCTCTCGCCCAGCCGGCCTAAGGCTGGACCGACCACTCCTAAGGCCAGCCTTCTTTGGCGATAGGTCATTCCTTCTCCGACCGGCGGCTGGCCCGAATTTTTTTTAAAAATATTTTGAAAATATATATAATTATTTTTATTATTAAATATTAAGCCAATTAATAATTATTAAAGCAAGTTGCTACAACATTTTTAGTCATTCTTTGCCTTTTATTGGACTTTCTCATTCAGTGTAGGATAATTGCAAATTAAAGTTTTCAGTATCCCAACCTTTTATAGCCACTTTTGGCCTTTATTATTGTATTTATAATCGATATAAGATTGTCCCAAGCCTCTAGCCTTTTATAGCTACTTTTTACATTCTTTTTTGCTTTCAAAATCAGTGTGGGACTAAATGATCCATGTTTTAACACACTTTCACAATGTATGTCAAGATGAATGTCACATTATCATTAATTAAACTTATTTATCTTAAATTGATAAATGATTAAATTTAATTAAATGAACATGAAATATGGAAAACCATTATGGGCTTTTACATAATAAAAAAAAATGCACTTATCATCCCACTTTCATTTCTTTTTTCTTTTTGTTACTGAAATACAAAAAATATTTAAATATTATAGATATATATATATATATAAGTTACTATTAGTTAGTTTAAGTATTTGAATGTTTTAAATTGTCTTAATATTTAATTAACAAAATTATACATATAAGTTTTATCATATAAAATATTATATATATGTTTAAAAGTATTAAAAATTAATAGAGCTGTAAACGAACTGAACGTTCGCGAACGAAAGCTTGTTCGAGCTCTGTTCGTGTTCAACAAAAGCTCGTTCATTTGTTAATCGAGTCGAGTTCGAACATAAAATTAAGCTCTTTTAATAATCTAACGGACACGAGCTCGTACGTGAACGCTCGATTATGTTCGCGAACATTAATTTAATATAATTTTATTTTTTTCTATATACTTACATAATATTTTTAATAAAAAATATAATATATAAAATTATTGTTATTTTATTCTTTTATTTTTCGTGTTCGAACGAATAAATTTTGATAAATGAACATATTTAAAAAATATATGTATTAAATTATTCGAACAGAACGAATTCGAACTTTGACGAACGATTAAACGAACGAACTCGAACACGATTTTTTGCTCGAAAAATAAATGAACGAACACGAACACTGTTTGAACGTAAACAAACACGAGCTCAAACAACCCAAGCTCTGTTCGGTTCGGTTCGTTTCGTTTACAACACTAAAAGTTAAATACCAATCCAACCGGTTCAACCACTTGTTGAACCAGTAAACCATTGAACCAGTAGCTAGACCGATTTGATGTCCCGTCCAATTTTCAGAACCTTGGTTATAATTAATATATTATATATATTAGTGAAATTATAATTAGTATTGTAATATAATTAGGCCACACAAGTTTTTCTTTATTTTTTTATAATCAAATTTTTATTTATTATATAAATTATATTAGAATTTAGAAATTATGTTATAAATTATAATTTATTATCTTAATAGTTAGAATCTAGAAATTATTATATTATAAATTATAATTAATTATCTTATAGAATTATTATTATTATTATGTTAGAAGTTAGAAATTATTATGTTACATAACATAATGCTAATTATCTCTAAGAAAATACTAATGAGTGATGGTATTAAAAATTGTAGTCCCATTTTTTCTTAAATCCGCTACTTTTTAACTTGGTAATAAATTTTAAAATACAAAATAATCTTCTGACTTAAATTTGAAATTCATAAATACCAATTTAAATAAAAAATTGAACGAAAAAAATCGGATTCTGTTAGAGAAATTCATTGAGACCGATTAATTCAGTATGATTAGACCAAATTTTATGACAAGATTGTT